TTGGTACATAGTGATTACTTAATAAATATTGTTATTCTGCATCTATTCTTACAAGTCCATATTTTTTGTTACAAAATGAGCCTGGAATAATGTGGTTTGACCCTGGGATAAGAGGTTCTGTACTTGCATTGTCTTAGGCTTTGAATGCAGGAGTTTTGACTTTGTTGTCTTCTTTTCATTTTGTGTTTTGATCTTCCTTGTCACCACAGTAACTTTCTATAGCAAGGATCTTTTTCTGCTGTTTGCTCATTTTCCAGCCTAGTTCTTCCTTTTAACTCTATGCTAAAGTGGGGATCTGCTTTTGGAGTGGAGAGGACACCTTCCTGAGCTTCAGGATTTTTTGTAAAGCTATTTTCAGAGGTAATTCTGGGGACCTGTAAGTCTTTGGTTCTTCCAAGGTAGTACAATCTAGGGAGAGATGTGTTTACTATTCTCCTGTACTGTGCACTGGTCTGAGAACAACCACAATCACTCTTTTCCACCCTGAAACTGTGACCAGGAGCCCTGTTCCCTTGTGGCTACAAGTTCTGGTGTGCTCCTCCTTGCCCTGGGACTGAGACCCAGAGCAAGTATGGGCAATGGAATTCCCTACTGACCAGTTGTCTGACCCCCTTACCATCTGTGGGCTGAGAGGTCCAAAGACTGCCACTGCTGTCACTGATTCAGTTGCCCCCAGGGCTACTCTTGGTTTCTCGGGTTCCGGTCTGCACTGGTACAACCTGTGCTGGACTGAACTCTATTCTCACCCTGGTGCAACAGACCTTTCCTGCCAACTTTTTAAATTGTCTTGGACTGGAAAATTGTTTCACTCCACCTTTTTTTTGTGTTCTGCTGCTCTAGAACTTGTTTGGGGGCATTATTTAAAGATGTTTGGAGGGGTTTGGGGGAGAACTTAGATGAATACCTGCCTTTTCTCCATGATCTTGGCTCTGGCTCCCCCTCTACTTGCATTGTTGTTGTTCCTAGAAGACTAATTTTGTGGGTGATGGGCGTGGAGTGAGTGCTCAGTAAATATTTGTTGAATTGAAGTGAATTCTTTTTCATGAATCACATGGGGCATATTTGGAAATTTTTTTTTCCAGTAAATGAGGGCTTTTCAGTACCTCAGACCCAGTCTAACACATAGTTTGAAAAAAAAAGGAAATATTTGGTTATGAATATTTGACTTGGTATCTAAGAGCACTGGCTCAAGAGATTGATACTAAATTTCTTTATAAAAAATTAAATACTTAACAAACACCAAAAAAACCCAAGCATTTCCATGTACAATATAGAACACGAAAATAATTATTGAACATAAAACTGAATCTTCTCCACATACAATTTGCTTTTTTTAAAAAAGTGTATAATAAATTCTACATGCTACTTTCAAGTCTGTCTTGCATGTCTGCACCTCCTGAACCTCATTTTCTTTTCAATGCTTCTTTTTTCCTTTATTTTCTTGATTACTTTTGTCAACAGTATCCCCAGTCTCCCTCTTACTGCTCCCCTGCCCTGGTCCTAATTCAAATTGGGGGAAAAACAGAACAAAACAAAACAAAACTTCTAGCAAATTCTAATCTTCCCTTTAACTACTGACAGCACTCCTCCTTCCAGTCACCCGGGTTCACAACTTCAGTGTAATCCTTAATAATTACTTATACTCACCCATCCTAAATGTCCAATCAGTTGCCAAATCCTGTTGTTTCCATCTCTACATTCTCTCTCAGATACACCCCCTTCTTTCTAGTTCAGTCTCCCTAGTTCATTCCCTTTGATTGTTTCGATAGATTTTTAATTAGTCTCCCTCCACCACAGATCTCTCCTCCATAGCCCTGCCAAAGTGATTTTCCTAAGGCTTAGGTCTGATCTTATCACAAACTCTTCTCTTCCAAATCAATAAATTCCAATGGTTTCTTGATGGCCTCTTGGCTCAAATACAAACCACTCTGGCACTTAAAACTCTTTACAACCTGGTCCCTTCCTATCTTTACAATCTTCTTACACTTTACTCCCCTTCATACATGCCACAGTTCAGCCATACTGGGCTACTTGTTCCTCACACAAAACACTCAATCATTCGTTTCTGTACTTTTGCACTCACCATAGTCTGTGCATGAAATGCTCTCCCCATCTCACTTCTGCCTCTTTGAATCCTTAGTTCCTTTTGGGACTAAACTCAAACAACATCTTCTTGGTCCTAAAAGGTGATAGTGCATATCCCATCTACTCAGGATATATCTTACATGCATTTTTTTATGTACATGTTGTCTTCCAAATTGGAATGTAAGCTTCTTGAGGCAAGGACTGCTACCCACCCCCTTTATCCTCAGCACTTAATATAGGTCATGAAACCTTGTTGATTGTTGTTGAGTTATTTCATTTGTGGCCGACTTTTTGTGACCCCATTTTGGGGTTTTCTTGGCAAAGATGCTGGGAGTGGTTTGCCATTTCCTTCTCCAGCTCACTTTACAGATAAGGAAACTGAGGCAAACAGTTTTAAGTGACTTGCCAAGAGTCACAGAGTTAATAAGTGTCTGAGGCCAGGTTTGAAATTACAAAGATATGAGGAACTCCTGTTGATTTGCAAATATATAGTACTTCTAATAAGCTAAAGATTGTTGAGAAGCATAATGCAGGGCAAGGTAGTGAAGTTAGAGTGGGACCACTATCCAATTGGGGAATTGGATAGAGTACGAAGGGGCCTCAGTTGTAGTAGAATAGATTACAGCTTAGGAGGAGGCACTGCTGTACAGTGGAGAGAGTGCTAGGCTTGGTGTTAGAAAGACTTGAGTTCTAGTCCTACCTCTGAAATATATTAGCTCTGTGACCTTCAAATCACTTAACATCCCAGTGGTCCAGGCAACTCAGACTCCATGTTCCAGATTTGTGATTCTCTATCAGTGGTAGAAGTTTCCGTATCAGGAGTTTCCAGACAGATAAAATAACAGAAGTGGACAAAAAGAGAAGAAAAGTAAAGGAAAGAAAAGAAAAGAAAAGAACAAGTTGTAGGCTAGCCCATTTCCTGTATGTCAAAAATCTTCTCTGATTTTGATAATGCTCATTTATCCAGGCTTCATTCTCCCCACTAGGTCTAAATCCTTGTAAGTGAATATTTACATTTGGGATGGGAAATGGATAGAAAGGACAAGGAACATTCAAATATATTCCTAAAGATTCAGATGCAACAGGACCAATCAGTTAGGAGGATATTATGATTCCATTTTACCAAACACATTAATGCCATGTTAAATTTGAATGGTTAATCCCACAATAAAGAAGCAATTCAGTCAAGGTTCCCCTGGCAACCCTGCTTTGTCTCCCAGGAGCAATGCCTCTTAATGGTGTATTCATTATCTTATCTACAGGTCTGGTCCCCAGAACATACTATCTGAAAAATATTGATTGTCTACAAACTCAAGTTAACTTGCTAAATGCCATAGATTGTCAAATTTGATAAGCAGATGTATATGTGTAAGCTTGGGAAAGGCCTAGAAAATGGGTTCATTAGAGGCCTTGGTTGTTTGCCTCATAATATGGTTCATTTGAAATATGACTCTATTTTAAATGATATTCTTTAAAGGCATGTCTTTCAAATGGCCTTCACAATACATGTATCAAAAGAACTGTAATATGTCATTTATCTGGCATTGTTCACTTCTATCTCCATTCCTTACTTTCAGGACTTCTTTACCTCTCTCCCAGCAATCTTCTTACCCTGGAGATGTCTTAACTCTTTGGCCCTCTCTTCTAATTGGTGAGTCTCTGGCTGGACCATTATTTCATGGGGTAAACCAGGACATGTTCATGTCACTCCAGGCCCTACTCCTCACCAGCAACCTTCCCCTGCATCATTATTCTTTCTAACCCTTCCCCCACTACAATTTTCATCTTTCCTTTATGTTATCTTCCCTGGTAGAATGTATGTACCCTCAGGGTAGGGTCAGGTTTTTTTTCCTTTTATAAGTTTTTCCAGTGCTTAGCACAGTGGCTTATACATAGTAAGCACTTTGTAAAATGCTCTATAATTTTCTGTCTGTTTGTCTATCAGTACATTTATACATCCAACCATCTATCAATTGCTAGGAAATAAGAGATTTCTCATAAATTAATTTTCCCAGAGAGAGAATTGAAGCTTACTTCTTTAAGCACCCAAACTTTAAAAGAAAATATTGCTTTTAATGGAAATCTTTCTGAACAGTACCACCTCCTTTGTCTCCTTAAACTAAGTGTATCGAACATAATTTTCCCTTTTTGTTATGACTCAAACTTATCTTTGGGAATTATTTGTGTTTTATGCTATAATATATTGTTGTACGTGATAATATAATCCCTTACAAACTACAAGACTGTAGAGAGCTTGCTGTTTGTCCTTGCACTTAAGGACCCAGACGACTTTGCTAAAGTACTAGAAAGCGGAACAAGTCTCCTTTTTATAGCTCTTCAATCTTGTTGCTTTCTTAACGGCGACCACTCTTCCCTACGGTCAGTGTGTCTTGCTTTAGTTGTTGTTCAGTTGTTTCAGCTGGACTCTTCATGACCTCATTTGGGGTTTTCTTGACAAAGATACTGGAGTGGTTTGCCATTTTCTTCTCTAGCTCATTTTATAGATGAGGAAACTGAGGCAAACAAGGTAAAGTGATTTTCCCAGGGTTACACAATTAGTAAGTGTGCCTGAGGTTGGATTTGAACTCAGGTCTTCCTGATTCCAGGGCCAGTGCTCCATCCACTGTGTCATCTAGCTACCCATGTGTCTTACTATCTTAGTTTTATGCATGAATTTCTAGCTGAAAGCCGTGACAGTATTGACAGAGGTAGTACCTTTCTTTCTTTTTTTTTTTTTTACAGGTATTAAATAGTTTATTCAATGAGATTGAAAAACTTTCCCTTCAGACCTCTGGAAAGGTTTCCTGGGGGCCCTTCCCCCACCAAAGGGTTAGCCCTCCACCCTCATCCCCACTCTTAAGCCCATTATCCCCCAATTGCTATGATGCTGCCACTTGCATGAGGGGATCTTCCAGTTACTGAACCAGGGCCTGGGCCTTGGCCTTCAGCATTCCAAAGGCCACAGTCTCTTTGGCGTAGATATACAGCAACAGGTTTGCCACCTGAGTGATCGCCACCCAATCCTCCATGCAGTCCATTAAGATGAATTTGAGATTGTCTTCGTTAAAGGCTTGGTTCCCATCCTCGTCGTAGGCAGCCCAGGTGTTGCTAGCGATAGCAGCAGTGTCCCCATAACCAGAGTAGGCCAGCAGGGAGCCTTCATTATTCAGCAACAGCATGCTCTGGACGCCTCTGGTGATAGCTTGACTTAGCACCTGGATCAGGGCTGTGGGGCGAAGCATGAAGACTACTCCAAATCCCCACAACCCAGTCTCTGTCGGTAGTACTTTTCTGATTAGGGTGAAGTGAGTTTTGTAATAACACATTGATTCTCAGAAGATTTTCCCCTTCTTATTCACAGATTCACAGAATTTTACTGAATGGTAGAGATTACCAGAAGTCTGACCTTCAGATGAGTGTAGCATCACTCTAACTGTTGTTTGCTAAGACCTGTGCTAGGTGTTTTGAGGGAGAAAAGGGGAATAAGATATAGTCTTTTCTTCTCGCTAGGCAATGGGGTTAATTGACTTGCCCAGGGTCACACAGCTAGTAAGTGTCAAGTGTCTGAGGCTGGATTTGAACTCAGGTCCTCCAGACTCTAGGGCTGGTGCTCTATCCATTGTGCCACCTAAGCTGCCCCAATATATAGTCTTTTCTGCAATGAGCATATAGTCTTGTAAAGGAGATGAAACACTTGAAAATCCAGGACTCTTTGCTACACTACAGTGCCTTCAATCCATTACACTTTTGGTTATTGTTGATTATTTAATCAATACACTTTTGGGGTATATGGTGTGTTCAGGGAGGACTAGCACCCCTGGTATAAAGGTTTGCTGAGATCTTCTCAGGGCTGCTCACCCACCTTTGGTGTCCACTTATCACCCAACTCTCAGCTGTGGCTCTAAGAGGTTCTCAAATGAGCAGGGGCCACACCTCAGTAAAATCGACTTGGTGGATAAGATAAATCATGTTGAGGGTACCTGGCAAGCCTCAAATCCATCAGTGAGTTATGGGGTGTCTACTCCCAGCCTGTGAAGACTTCTACCAGTAGAATGGGTGGATGAGAACAACTTATCTCTCTAGCCAGGAAGGTGGCTGAATCAGGTGCTGTGGAGCTCTTAGACTTTAGTCAGACATCACAGACACCAAGGTCATACACTGCATCCTGGGGCCATTATCAGTCATCTTGACTTTTGTCTTGCCATTGGTCTTTGATGACTTTGTGCAATTCTACCTCACTTAAATCAAAAACCACATTCAAATTAAGACATCACCTATCATCCACTATTTGACCCTGCCATTGTGATGTCTTTGGTTTTCTTTGAAAACTAGGGATAAACAACAACAATACATTTCAGGTCTATTATGCACCCAATTATGTTACTAAAATCTAATCAGTGTTTTCCCCTCTTATCCAAGAATTATCATGAGATATTTTATTAAATTGCTTTTGGATGTCAAGATACATCAAAGTTGTAACAGTTATATGAACTTATATGAAACAAGCCTAGTAACTATTGCAAAAAGGAAACACATTTAACTCAGCATAACATCTTTGTGAACCCATGCTGGCTCCTAGACATTACTACATTCTTTCCTAAATGTGTAAAAACATTTTTTCAATAGTCTATTTAATAATTTACTCTAGAATTTTGCTATAGCTATAGGTGTACCATTCCTGGGACATATTCTTTGTTTTCTTTTTGGAAAATCATCCCAGACTCTATCACTTCTCAAAAATTAATAACATTGACTTTGAGGAAATATTAGGAAATTTCTTCAATACCTCTAGGTAAACTATGCCTTGATGGGGAGAAAGAAATTTATTTTAAAAAGCTAAATGGCCTTTCACTATCTCCTTAGGTAATCTGGAAGATAACTGTCCATTTACAATTGTTTGCTCACCTTTTCCAGTTTGAAAATTTTTCTCTGTATCAGAGAAAATGGAAAAGAAAATAAGGAAGTAGCACAAGTGAATTTATCACATTTATTAAAACATTATTGTTTCCTGAAGAATAATGTAAATAATATTCAACTTCTAATATGGGAGAGAAGAGACAAAAGGTTGTTAAGTTTGACTACTGATTTTTTGGATGTGGGTAGCCTGTAAATTGACTGGGCACCTGGGTCAGGTGTTCAAGTTTAAGGATGATGGAAAGATCTCATTGACAGACATTGTACATTCCATCATTTTGGCAAGATGGGCCCTACCAGAACTAATTCTCATCTCTCTCTTTGATCACACTTATTTCCTTATAGCTCTACCTACTCCAGATTTCAGAACTAAAAAAAAAATCCTGCAGAGTCACCTGGGATTACATTAAAGATTCTATTCAGTAGATGCTTGGATGAGATAGTCACAGAAGTCAATACAAGTTGGCAAGTCTTGCTCTTTTTTCTTGTTTGTATCTGGGGCCTTTACCTACCACTTATTATAGAACTGCCACATTAATGCAATTATGCTAACTTCTTGCTATTGTATATCAACCATACTCACTCCACTTCCCCTACCCCCAACCTTGATTACTCATCCAAGCAAGTTTCTTTCTTAAGCAATTTCCATCAGGATTGACATATAAGATCCAATAATTAAAAACACTTCTTGTCTTGTGATTGCCATCAGGAACACCATTAAGAGTTGGCCTGGTTCCTAGGGAGTTACATCAAGTCTCTTCTCTCCTCATTCAATAGTAGCCATCTTTAATAGTCTGTTTTATTTTCCTCCCAGTTTCCAATACTACTGTCAGTGCCCTGTACCTTCGTTATCAGGAGGAACCAGCACTTATGTGACTAAAGACACTAATATAGGTGCATGGGAATCATATCACAAGAGAAAGAGCCTAGGATAGAAGTAAAGTGAAAGACATTCTGAGTATAGACTCAGGACATGGAGTTGGAACAAGAAGTAGAACAAGGCAAAGAGTAAAGAAAAGGTCCAAGAAGTTTACTGCCTGGACCACTATATAGGATACTCCATACAGGTTCATTCTGGAATCTGGGGAAGACTAGAATGAAACTTTGGACTGGTTAAAAAGACAAAGCCAGACATTAGTTGTCTAAGCAGGCAGCAGGGTGAGTAAACCTGGTTCTGGAAGTTTCCAGTTCTAATAGAACTGGAAAATCACACCAAAGATGATCAAGAGAATGAAGACAATTGACTAAAAGGATTAGATTTGTAGTCAGAAAAGACAATGATCAATAGATGACATAGTTGAGGTTTTTAAATTAAGGATGCGTATTGATGCATATTGATCGAGTGAACTATAGACTTATTCAGCTAATCATGATATAACCAGGACCCTGGCCTTGGGACCCTTGGAAACAAAGTCATCATGCCAAGCTAAGTCAACAAGCATTAACTAAGTACTTACACATACCACTCTGCTAAGTTCTAGGGAAACAAAGAAAGGCAAAACAGTCCCTGTCCTCAAGGAACTCACATTCTAAGGAGGAGACAACATGCAAAAAACTGTTTATACTCAAGATATATATATATATATATATATATATATATATATATATATATATATA